TCATAAAACTTAAAAGAAAGATACCTAGAGTCTATAGGAAAGAGAGATAAAAGCAACTGGAAAAAAATAAATGAAAAGGGAAAATAAGCAGTCTAGTCATCATCAAGGGCATTGAGAACCTACTAAGTACTCAGCATGGCTCTGTTGCCAGAAAGTGTTGGATTCAAACCCTGGCCTTGGGACCTCACTGAGCTGCACTTTCTCCAGCTGTGATATGGGGCTATGACATTAGCATATAGATTTCATGAAGATTGTGTGAGACTGCATTAGAACATAAGCCCATACGTTTCAACCCATAAAACTCATAGTCCCATGGGGTAGATGATGTTATTACCCTATTTCATAGGTGAGGAAACCGAGTCACTGAGATTGAGTTACGCAAGGCCACACTCATCAGGAAAGCCCGGATTGAAACACTGTTTCTTGAGTGCCATATAGTAGTAGACACTCAATAAATATTTATAGAATGAATTGGTGAAATGACACATGCAGAGCACTTACAAATATTCAGTCACAAGGTTGGCACACAGCAAATATTAGTTGCCTTTTCTTTTTTCCTTTTGCCTTCACATTTGGGAGAACAGAAGGTATATAACAAAACATAGCTTCTGCCTCAGAGATATGCCATCTTGTTGAGGAAATCTGAATAATTATGCCAATTAGAAAATTATATGAATGTGTGTTTAAAACTAAATTGTTTGACATAAGCCAGTGGCCCCAAGTGAGGACATTTTACTGTCCCAGAACATTTATTAATGTCTGAGGACATGTTTAATTATCACAACTGAGGGCATGTGTACTATTGACATTAGTATGTGGAAGACAGAGATATAACTAAACATCTTACAAGACACAGAACAACCCCTACAATAAAGAGTTCCAGCCCAGATGGTGTCAGGGCTGAAACTGTTGAGGTTAAGAAACTCTGGCCTAGGCTATAAGAGCTATAGTAGTTCTAAGGTGAGAGAGAAGAGTTAGAGATGACTTTACTAATAAGGCAATATTTTTTAGGGTAATATAATTTAAATAGATGTAAAATAGCATGCCGAAGGAGGAAGTAAACCCTCCATCACCACTCAGCAGTGTTTCTATGCACTAGAAAATATCTGTACATAATACATACCTATATACATTAAAACAAGGGTCAGTGGATTCATCTGAGCTTTAGTAATACATCAGAAATGTTTGGCCTATGTTCACCTTAGGAAAACAGTGTTGGAGACCCATAATTATTGACCTCACAATGAATGGGTGACACTTCTATAAACCCAATTAATAAGAATATATTTCCTTTGCTCTTCTTTAATTCACAGGTTTGAGAAGAGGCTCAGCTGGGAACATTGCAGACACTCATAAATGTTTCTTCTCCACCCACTAGCTGTAAATTGCTTAGCAAGGGCCCCAGATAGGCCCTGAGATGAGATTTAGATATCCCAGATCATGTGTAATGAGTAGATAAGACTGATCACAGCACCTTCCCTTCCCATTAATCTCTTTGTGAATGTCTTCAAAGAAAACACGTCCTAAAGGAGGCAGACCCAACTATCTCAGCCCAGAAACAAAGCCTCAGTCACTGAAGGCAATGGTGAATGCTAACATCCACAGTATCTTGCTACAAAATCCAGCCAAACCAAATCCCATGAACTCACACCATCTTAGGAAGGGGATATCAAATAGAGCACAACCGTGGGGGTCAGGTGCCTGGATTCATATTCCAGTTTTCCCACTTATTAGATTATTAGCGGTGTAAACTTGGATACATTACTTACCCTTTCTGATACTTCATCTATGAAATATGGTTAATAATATATAACAATATCATGTATATTGTCATTAAGATTAAACAAATTGATTGATATAAAGAACTAATTCACAGTGCTTGACACACAATAAGTACCCAGTAAAGCCCAGCTAATTATTCTGGTTTAGAAGAGAGAGGTATAATAAAGATTAAATTATCTGTTGCACTAAAATTTCTGTAAAATGTTTCAGTCTAAGCTGTTCTGTTTGAGCTTTCCTCCAAGAGAGAGCAACAAAAATGATAGCTATTTCTTGTTTATTCCACGACTTCTTCTCTTTGGTCCTTTTGGAGTGTCTCAGTATCCACAAGGGGACTTATTTGTAAGCTGGTGTACTACAACCTGGGGGCACATCTAGCAGTACTTGAGGGCTGTTTTCTCAGTACTAAAACTTCTTGACGAATGACTGAATCCAAGGGGGCAGTGCTGCTGATACACTATTAATATAATCTTATATTCATATATTATCCACAGGAAACTCAGGTTATACATGTGATGCATAGAGCCATGTTTTTTCCAAACCTGCAAATACTAAATGACCTGCCCAAATTCACACTAAAATAAGCAATAAGCCAAGATTCCAATTCTCCTGAGCATACTCTGAAGCACATGCTCTTTCCACTGTTCTATCCAGCCCAGTTGACCACAGACCATTTTTTGAGAAGTGCTTCATTGCTCTGATAGCTGTATTCCCTCATTTACTGGAATAAAAATGAGCTAGTTATTGTCGCATTCTTGAGCCCTAACTGAGTAGAAACCACATCAAAAGTAACCAAATGTATTGAGCAGGATATTTTGGTTACCTGTGACAGGAGCCCAACTTAAATGGGCTCAAGCATAACAAGGAATATATTGATTTATAAATGTGAAAATCCCAAACATTGAGCTTGCTTCAGACGGCACAGAGGGATTCATGCTCTGATCATGAAATCAGTATTCTTCCTCTCACCATTACTAATATCTGCTTTCCTCCATATTAGCATCCTTCTCAGTTAAGCATTTGCCAAGGGGTGCAAAGATGACCACCCACACCAGGCTTCCAACCAGCCAGCTTAGCACCCCAAGAGAGAGAAAGTATGTTCCTTGCAGTGGTTCTAGGAAAAATCCTGAGACCAAGTCTCACAAGTCTAGATTGGGTCATGCACCCATCACTGAACACTTACTAGGGTTGGGGCATGTGGTTCTGATTGGCCCAGCTTGAGTCATATCCCACTTCTATAGTGATAGGAGGAGACAGAAGGCCACACTACAAATACCAGCAAAGAAATGTTGGCTATTTCCTACACTTGTGCTGGTACCAGAAGGATGTATGCTGGTCAGCCAACCAGATATCGTTTACCATAATGAGCCATACTGAGTAGAGTATGATTTAGTCCAAGAGAAATTAAGAAGGATGAGAAATAAAAATCCAGCATCATTCTTTATAATTCCATACCATGATGATAAATTAGTCATACCTATGAGTAAGCCCCTTTCTTACCTGGCTAATGCCTATGAATTCTTCAGCTGTCAGTTCCTCTGACAGGTCTTCTCTAACCCCAATTCTCCTACAGACTGTGTAAGGAGCCCATATGGTAACTTGTGCTTTCTCATTCAACACATTGTTACACTATGGACTCTCTATTTATGTCATTCATGCTATTCTTTGAGAGAAGGGCTGTGGACTTCATGACATAGCTCTAGTACCTGCCTGCCATAATTTCAATACATTTTAATTTTTTTTCTTTTTTGAGATGGAGTCTTGCTCTATCGCCAGACTGGAGTGAAGTGGTGCAATCTCGGCTCCCTGCAACCTCCGCCTCCTGGGTTCAAGCAATTCTTCCACCTCAGTCTCCCAAGTAGTTGGGACTACAGGCACGTGCCACCACACCCGGCTAATTTTTGTATTTTTAGTAGAGACAGGGTTTCATTGTGGCGAGGACGGTCTCGATCTCTTGACCTCGTGATCCGCCCACCTTCACCTCCCAAAGTGCTGGTATTACAGGCATGAGCCACCGCGCCCGGCCCATTTTAATTTTTTAAAAAAGAAACCAACATTAATAAAAGGTACAATTCACTGTGCTATGACTTAGTTCTGTTGATTTTGTTGGGGATATCATTTTTTAAGCACAAATATCCAATGAAAATGTAACCTTGTAAACATATTTTATCCCACTCTGTGTGTGTGTGTGTGTGTGTGTGTGTGTGTGTGTGTATGAGATGGAGTCTCACTCTGTAACCCAAGCTGGGGTGCAGTGGTGTGATCTCAGTTACTGTAACCTTCGCCTCTGGTGCTCAAGTAATTCTCCTGTTTCAGCCTCCCAAGTAGCTGGGACTACAGGCACACACCACCATATTCAGTTAATTTTTTTTCTAATATTAGTAGAAGTGGGGTTTCACCATTTTGCCCTGAGTGGTCTCAAACTCCTGAGCTCAGGTGATCCACCCACCTCGGCCTCCCAAAGTGCTAGGATTACAGGCATGTGCCACCACGCCCAGCCTTATCCTACTCTGTAAGTTTACTCAACACAGCCTGTAACCAGCTTATAATCAATGACATACTCTGGTCTGAAAACTTCTGCAAACATTTAATAAATATGAATGATGTGAATGGTCAAGGGTCAAACATAGCATAAACATTATAGCAGAGTTTCAGAAAGGCCCTTCCACCATGAGAAATATTTAACTAAAGGCTGGGAAAATCAAAAGTCTCAATGCTTTAAAAGAGTTTCAAACATTAAAAGAAGTAGTTTTATATGCAGTGAACTCTGAGATCTCTTCCAATTCTGATACCCTCATTCTGTGTTTTCAGTTCTTATTTGGATGAAATTTGAATAGGTTTGGAATTTCTCACATTCTAAAGCAAAGAATCTTGCCCCACTGGAAAGAAAGTCATATTCAGATTTATCTCCATTCCATATGCCAAACCTTGGTTTAAGAGAACTGGAAACCCTGATCACCATCCGCTAAACACTGGGTAAGTGAGATGGAAAGATCTGTTGTTGACACCCAGCAGAGAGTTTCTGCCCCCTTGTTTGAGTCTCATTTAAAACTTTGATGTATGTCATGCCTTTGTCTAAAATATTCCTGCCTGTTATTTGTACTTTCGGGTATTTATATGCAGTAAATATCCTTAAATATGAAAAAATAGCTAGTGTGTGAACAAGAACTACTAAGACAGATGGCCCTACAGAAAACACATTTGGCCTGTTGCAACACATAATTTCATCTTTAAGAAACTGCTATATAACTTATAAGATGGATTCAGCTGTAATAAAATCCAGATAAGCTGGAAAGCATTGGCAGTGATAGATGACAGAATGATTGTTCACTTATTCAACATATGACATTTGCACTTATAGATTTATCTTCCATTTGAGGAAAGTAATGACAGTTCTATCACCATGTTTATCATTTACTTGCCTTAGTTATCTCCCGCGTACAGGTCCACTCCCTTGCTGCTACCCTGTATAAGATGTTGTCATTCCGTATGCAAGGTGTGTTGGACATGCTCCACAAGCTGTACATGAAGAGGAAAGCAAGTATAGTAACTTGTCTCCTGAACAAAATCCTAAAGATGATACTGTATACAATTAGTCTACTATTGGTGTTTATTATGGATATGAGTTTGAATATAACACAAAGCTTTGAGATTGAGGTGAATGGCTGAAAGATAGAATGCCTTTATAAGATTCACAGGGATCCATGTGGTACCAGTGGATCTTGCCATTAATTGCATTATAGGAAAAAAATGAATTTTATTGTTTGGCCTAAAATGCAAATTGTGTATAATATCTTGCCATCTAGTTTCCTGCAGATGACAGTGTTTTGGCACAGGAAAAGTTGAATAACTTGTGATTATTTGGCTATATAGTTAGAACAGGGTTCAGTGTCTATGTAGTGGAGAGGGAAACTGTATCTGGCCAGAAACTGTGGCATGCAGAATGCATACAGTTAGCAAGGTTAAAGATTGGATTTCTCATATCCAGTTTTATACACACTTGGAACTTATCTCTTAGGAGAAAACAAACCCCATATAAAAGTCTCCTGTAGGGTAGAAAGTGTAGGCCAGGGTTCTGAAAGAATATATATCAATCAAAACAATCAACAGGTATGTATCAACTACATATATGCTAATCGATTAGGTACACACAGGAGGAAGTTTTAAAAAGGAAAATACACATAGGTGAACTTGGATAAGGTAGCCTTTATGAGTCAATAGGAAGATGCAAAATTTAAGCAAATCTGTTTTCTATTCATGGAGCTACTTGTTAACAGAGCCCTTCCTCAGATTACCAAAAACAAAGAAATATTTTTATAAAAATCTGTGGAGAAAAACCATCAGCCAAGCACTTTGTTCAGACTGCTTCTATGTACCAAACATGGGAAATACATAAAGAGTGAGACATTGTTCTTTCCCTAAGACAAGATCACATAGAGAATGTAAAATACTCTAACATTATAAGATGATTTGAGAATGCTAGGTATTGTTATCTAAAGATCACATATAAGGAATCAGGATTCAGAATGGCTTTGAATTTGTAAATAGCAACACCAGAAAGAAGGCATGGAAATCCCCAAATGACAGTGAATGGTAGTCTCAGGGTCGGTGGCTGCATTTGATTTTTACAAAGCATCCAGTCCAAACTGCTGGGATGAAGTTCTTGGCTCAGGCCTCTCAGTCCTTCTCAAAGTATTGTGCATGAACTGTTAGAGCAGAATCACTAGGGGACTAGTTACAAAAAGCAAATTCTCAAGCATCATTTCAAAACACCCGAATCTTTGGGATTGGGGCCAAGGAATCTGTTGTAATGAGCCCTTCAAGTGTTATGATGAAGGTACAAACTTGAGAATTACTGCTTCAGGTCATTCTTCTTCAGGGAGATAAAATTGTCAGTATCTGATGCACGTGAATGTCTTGTGAAGATAATTAGACAACTGCCAAAGAGGTTGAGGATGAATTAGTAATAAGTACATACAAAGAATACTAATAAAGAAATAAGAAAAGGAAATTATTAAATGTAGTGAAGACAAAATGTTATACAAAATAGTTAAGTAACCATAATTTACTATATGATTCAAGATTGAATGACAGACATACTAATAACCATGTAAATACTAAGTATTGATCTAACAAATATTACAATGTACCTATTCTGGGAGGTTGAGTGAGTGACAGGAAGAGTGTTTCTGTGGTGGGAGTTGGGAGTGTCTGGGGATATGGTGAATCTCTTTCACAGTAGAAAGATACTAGTTAGTACCTGAAACTAAAAATCAATTAAGAGCAATGTATATCTATATTATTTAGGGATTTGGAAGTTAATACTAGAAGAATCAGCTAAAAGAGTTGAAAATGATTGGCTCTCAGACAAGGGAATGTGGGAAACATGTTTTTTTCTTAGTAAATCATACATAATGAGTTGACTCTATACTGTCAACATGTTTAATTTGGATAAAAAACAAAATCCGGCCGGGCACGGTGGCTCAAGCCTATAATCCCAGCACTTTGGGAGGCCAAGGTGGGTGGATCACGAGGTCAAGAGATCGAGATCATCCTGGTCAACATGGTGAAACCCTGTCTCTATTAAAAATACAAAAATTAGCTGGGTATCGTAGTGCAGCCTGTAGTTCCAGCTACTCGAGAGGCTGAGGCAGAAGAATTGCTTGAACCCAGGAGGCAGAGGTTGCGGTGAGCCGAGATCATGTCATTGCATTCCAGCCTGGGTAACAAGAGCGAAACTCCATCTCAAAAAAAAAAAATCCAAAATAAACAAATGAGAAAATATTCTCTCTTCTCTTTGAAGATGCTCTGCTCATTGTTTGACAGTTATTCTCTCCTCTTAACATTCTTGAGTCTTTACTGTCTATTCCAGGAGTCAGTAAGTTACAGACCTGCCCACCGGTTTTTATAAATAAAAAGTTACTGGGATTCAGCCATGCTCATTCATTTACATATTGTCTGAGGCTGCCTTTGTGCAACAACAGCAAAGCTGAGTAGTTGGGATAGAGATCACGTAGCTTGCAAAGACTAAAATACTTACAATCCGATCTTTTCTAGAAAAAGTTTGCCAACCTCTGGTCTAGTCTATCCATTTGGTACCTAAAATAATACTTTGTATTTTTGTATTTCGTCTTTCCTACTGGATCTTATTCAAGTCATCTAACAACCATGCTAGTTAGGTAGTATCAGATTACCAATGAAACAGGCTCAGAAAAATAGGTAAACTGACCAAAGTAAAAAAAAATTGGTAGAGCTCAAAAGAGGTCTGTCTGAATCTAAAGTTTATATATTTTGCATGAATATTGTGGGTGATGCCTAATAAGCATTTCATGTTAGTATAGTTTGTCTTTTGTAGATGTAAGCTCTGTTTAGAGAAAGAACAATGTCTTAATCATCTGCATCTTCCCTGTGCCTCAAAAATAGGAATCACTCAGAGAAAGTTCTAGATTGGTGACAATAAAGACAAAGGCAAAAAAGGACCACTCCTAATTCTCACAGCAAATTCTATGTATTTGAAGCAACTGTTGTGATACTATTATATTTTTAGAGGGCTAAAATATGCCCTGAGCTGCTTTTTAGTTGAAGTTTTCTGAATAAATAAAGCACAATTGTCTGGAAGAGGTCACACACTAAGGCATTAATAATGCCCATTCATCCTCTTGTGATAAAGCTCAGGTTTCCTGTTTTGCAATTGTTTCAATCTAGACTGGAAGCTCTCAGAGGCAGAGGCTTCGCATTTATATGCTCAGGGATTCATCTGGGCACATGTGTTGTTTCATTCCATGACTAATAGCTAAAAATAAACGAGTAATAATGCATTGTTAGTGCGAGGTTTGTTTCATGCCCAGAAATGTATTCTGAAAACACTGATCATAAAATTTTTTTAACCTACTGAGTCTTCCAGAAGCAAAAATCTAGTGAAATTTACTCAAAGGAAAATGACATTGTTTTGGTTGGAGAGTTTCTTATGATTGATACATAACTAGCTATGTACACTGTAAACACTGACTTGTGTAAAAGTAATGCTGTTTTTCTTTAAAGAGAATAGAATTATTGAAAAGAAGAATTCATAGCTTGAAAAGAAGATTACAGTTCACCCTGTCTCATCATCTGTTCCCATTATACCATTTCCTAATTGTTATTCAGCTTGTACTTGAATACCTTGTAGAAAGAGAAATCTCCTATTTGCCAAGGGGGCAGTACTCACTTCACTTCACTTCATTTATTCATTCATTCAACATTTTTAAAGACCTCTTGGATATTCAGGCTTCATTTTGTACTCTGTCATAAGAGTTATTTGCTTATGTAAGAGTAAAATCTGAGCCTTTGTAGCTTACACTGGTAAATTTAACTTTTATTTTTTAGAAGCCTACAAGTCAAATCTATCTTCTAATTTATATGGTGGTTCTTCAAGTATTTGGAAGAAATACCACCTGCCTGGATGATTCCATCTTTGTTCTAAACATCTCCACTTCTGGAACCTATTGCTCAGATGAAATGGTTTTAGGTCTTCTCCTCCATTCTAGTTTATTTATAACCTTCCAAAAAGAGAATCACAAAAAGTATTGTTTAATATGTGGTCTGATTAGTTGGAAGGAAAGTCTAGGTTCTCTTTTCACCTTTATCCACAACCTTTCTTAATACAAATAGTGAACATATGTATTTTGAGTGGTAAAATACAAATGTTTGTCCTTATTGAGCTAGTAAATAAATCTAAGTTCCTTAAATAGTATTCAACCTTCTACCTTGTATTTATGGGGTTGGTTTTAGGGACTTAGTCCCATTATACTTATAGGCATTACATTCATCTTATTATATTTACTTCATGTAATTGTTTAATTTAAAAACTTAGTGAGATTATGTGCTTTAGAGATGAAAGGCACAATTTTTGCTCTCCAGGACCTCACAGTCTAGTAACAATGGATAAGTTAATAAAGAATTATAAATCAGGATGCTAAGTGCTGTGATTGGTATAAATACAAAGGTACATTGGCAACATATCAAAAAGACAGACGAAACTTTTGCTATTATTTCTGTTAGGAATCTATAAGGGAAGAAGATAAAAAGGCAAGGTTATAAAGATTCTGAAGAAGAAATAATATTTGGTGCATTCCTTGAAGGTGAGTAGAAATTAACTGAAGAGCAGATAGAAGCTGAGAACAAATAAAGGACATCCTACACTACGCTGTCCAGGATGTTACCCACTAGCCACAAATGACGATCCAGCACATAAAACACAGCCTGTCCAAGTTGAGATGTGCTGTACGTGTAAAATACAAATCCAATTTTAAATATTTAATAAGAAGAGCATGTAAAATATCTCGTTAATAACTACATTTGTTACACATTGAAATAATCATATTTTGGATATATTTGGATTAAATGAAGTATATTATTAAAATTAATTCCATCTGTTTCATTTTACTTTTTTAAAACATGGCTACTAGAAAATTTGAAATTACTTATGTGACTCACGTTATTTTTCTATTGAACAGTGTTGCTCTACCAAGTAAGAGCAGGCAGAGAGATGAGAAGAATAAACAATAGTGAGAAACTTGGAGAGGCTGGGCTTGATTCAGTCATCCACTTGAGATACTCAACAACTATTCTGGATCAATGTATGTATTATAACTTCAAACATATCATTGTAGAACATTTTGATATTATAGAATACTAAGGCCTGCCACTGGTTACTTAGTTCAAGGTTGACAGCAATCTGTTTTTCATAGCATTACAAGTCCACCTAAGTACACTGTTCCTCATCCCATATGTCTTTTTCCTACTCACAAAAACAGGAATAGCTCCAAGTATATGGCATTCTGGAAAAGGCAATAGGAAACATGGTTGCCAGAGGTTGGCGAAAGGAAAGATGAATACGTAGAATTTAAGGTAGTGACATTTAAGGCAGTGAAACTATTCTGTGTGATACCTTAATGGTGGATACCTGTCAGCATAGATTCCAAACTGATAGAATATGTAATACCAAGAGTAAACCCCAATGTGAATTATAGATGTTGGATGATAATGATGTATCAATGTAAGTTTGTATAAATCAATCGTAATGAACATACCACCTTGGTGGGGAATGCTGATCATGGGAGAAGCTATGTATGTGTGGGAGGAAGTGGTATGTGGGAAATCTCTGTATCTTCCACTCAATTTTTCTGTGAACCTAAAACTGCTTTAAAAGATAATGCCTATGAAAAAAATTAAAATTAAAAAATTTTTTAAAAACAAAAATTACTTCTAAACCTGCCAGTCTTACTGACAGACAGTACTGCAGTGTGTTGCACTGCTCCTCAGAAATCCCTTGGGCTATCGAGGCTTAGGTGCCCACAGCAGTGATCACTTGGTAGAACAATCTTAAATTGGTTTTCCCTCCTTCTTCACTTCATTCAATCCATTCTCTGACTTCATTCTGGAGAATCACTTCCCAAAAGAAACATTGCTTGCAAACCTCTTCTTGGGCTTCATATTTTGGAGGAACCTAGGCTAAGACCATCGCTACAAGGAGTGCCCTGAAAATTACACAGTCAGGACAGGATTCAAAAATGACTCCCTTCCTCAGCCAGATGGCAATAAGCCCTTTTTAACTGACGATAACCCATGGTATGTTACAGCATGTGTTCAACAGTGTTGAATCGGGTTGAGGAGCACAGGGTAAAATATTGGCCTATGCGGGAGCAGCGGTCCTGGAATGGTATGGGCCATAATTGAATCCAACCTAAATGTATCTGCCTACTCTCTAGATGCAAGACTGTGATAAATATTCTTAGTACCTGACAGAATCCTTCAGACGGTTTCCTTGCCTCTGGAGTAGAAAAGGCCATGAAGAAATCTATTTATCAAGTAACTCAAAAAGCTTCCAGGGTTGAACACAGCCAAGAGCAAGTGAGGTCTAAATAACTGGACCAGGCTATAGTGTGAGCTGTCCTTCCATTAAATATATTTGATCCAGCAAACTGATAGTGCTGGAGGTGTATATGGATGTTGTGTGGAGGTCTCCGACCAATCCTGATGCATGTATTATACACAGTGGTTCTGTCACACAGCCATGCCATTAGCAGTAGGTAATTATTTGCAATTTTAAAAGCAGTATGATGGAGACTGTTCAGCAGCTTTACCTGCAATATGACATAGTTGTCAAGAAGACCAAAAAGCCAGTTGATGGAAGTTTGATCCAGAGCGGACAGCAACTCATCCTTACTAGAATTTATACCTACTCTGCATCTAGGTTTACCTTCCCTGCAAGCAGTGCTTCTGGCAGCACCACCACTTGAGGGCCTACGACATATCTGATTTAGCAAATCAGGATGTTTCTTAACATATACTCAGAATTGTTTACAGCAGATACCAGGCTCATGACCACAGGTCACCACAATATCCAGAAAGAAGGCCACTCGATAACAATAAAATGACTTATTAAGGTTCAGTGTAGAGGGCCACATAGCCTGTGTGTTTGGGTTACTGCCTGATTAAGATATAATACAGGAAGCAAACCATGAGGCTGCATTCCAGGAGCTACAATCCATGGGCACGAGAACTGAGGAGTGGAAGCAGGATTGCTTGCCCTCAACCATGACTTCATTTGCAGAATTTTGTCTTTATCTCTTCACAATTTTATGTTCTGAACCAATAGGATTTGAAATCTAAGTTCCCAAGAAGATATTCTTCCAACAGAGAACAAAGCAGGAGTTTCATTTAACCTGATTCTATGACTACCATCTGGACACTTGGGGCTCCTGGTGATGCAGGTGGGAAAGCTGGTAAATAAGGAGCTATCGCATTGGCAAGGTGACTGACCCTATTACCATGAGAAGCCAGAGCTTCTATCAATTGAGGCAGATAGAAATGTGTCCAGAACCCAGGGAATTCAATGGTATATCCTTATCCAAGGTCAGCAGTAACCATAAATGGACAATTGCAACAATGATAAATGAGCATAAACTGCTGGCACCAGGAGCTCTTGGGCCCTCCATTAAATACAACATTAAATTCGTGATGTGTAGGGAAAAAAATGGAATACCATACAGGTAATAAAAACAGGAATGAATTTAGGAAAAGATACAGCTATTATATTAAGAACAAGTATGTATTTGAATAGAAAAAGAAACAAAAACAAAAAGTTAGATAGGAGCAGTCAGTTAACAGTTAAAAAATAAGATGTAATCTGGAAGAGTCAACTACGAAAAGATTCAGAAGAGACGTGTCACGGCTATATATGAAACTTAAAGTCCCTAATCCTTCCAGCCTCTAGGATTAGCCTTTTTTTTGACAGCCAAAAACGTGACTAGAGAATCCATCACTTGTGTGTCTAGAAGGCCCATGCAAGCTCCAAAATATTTGAGAATTCCAGGAGGTATAAAGAGAAAGCCAAGAGCTTACACTTCTCTATCCTTTCACCACAAATTTAGCTCACAACCTAACTCAATCTCCCTTTTCTGTCTTGAGTCCTTAGCCATCCTCTTTTTTGTACCACATCACACGTTTTGTAGATGGAACTTTTCTTTCATTCCTCAAGAGATTTGCATCATCCCAGCACTAGGCTGTCATGTATACAATTTTTTTTTTTTTTTGAGACGAAGTTTAGCTCTTGTTACCCAGGCTGGAGTGCAATGGCACGATCTCGGCTCACTGCAACCTTCGCCTCCTGGGTTCAGGCAATTCTCCTGCCTCAGCCTCCTCATGTATACAAATTTTTTTTTTTTTTAAAGATCTTAATTGGCTTTTATTTGTGAATCTAGGATCAAACAACACAATCTACGGAATGGAATGAGTGTTCTGTAAGCTGCACTAAGAAGTTTGGCTTTATAAGCAGAAAAAGGCTGAAGAATGTAAAAAGAGGGAACAAAAAGCTTATTGGTCATTTGAAAGCTCATTTCCTTGTAAAGGTTAAAGCAGAAGAGCCTTCTTTTTTTTTTTTTTTAATTTTTTATTGGATTATAGGTTTTGGGGTACATGAGCAGAGCATGCAAGACAGTTGCGTAGGTACACACATGGCAGTGTGCTTTCTTTTCTTCTCCCCTTCACCCACATTTGGCTTTTCTCCCCAGGCTATCCCTCCCCACCTCCCCCTCCCACTGGCCCTCCCCTTTTCCCCCCAATAGACCCCAGTGTTTAGTACTCCCCTCTCTGTGTCCATGTGTTCTCATTTTTCATCACCCACCTATGAGTGAGAATATGTGGTGTTTCATTTTCTGTTCTTGTGTCAGTTTGCTGAGGATAATGTTCTCCAGATTCATCCATGTCCCTGAAAACGACACAAACTCATCATTTCTGATTGCTGCATAATATTCCATGGTGTATATGTGCCACATTTTTCCAATAGCAAAGACCTGGAATCAACCCAAATGCCCATTGATAATGTATACAAATTTTTACTCAAGCTTTAAAAATATCCAGCAGTTAAATACAGCACCGCAACAGATTATGGATCAGCCTCTTAAATATCACTGGTCACCCAGCAATAAACAAGTAATGGGCATTGGTAGCTATCAAGCCCCTAAGGCCCAGCCAGCTGCCATGTTGCTCAGATGTGCTGATAAATCAAAGGACACTATTCTAAGATAATGGTAATCATTAACAGCAAATACTTGTGTGATCTTATAAAATTATACCTGCTTGCCTTCTTGCACATCTGCCATTGCCATGAGAAAGACCTGTCTAGAAAATAAGAAATATGTGAAACAGAATTGACCCAGCTAGGCTCAGTCTACGGATGAGACCACACTTGACTTTCAGATGAAATCCAGCCTGGATTAGCCTGGATCAGTTGCCACCCAGATCACCCACAGAGATGTGAGCTATAGTAATAAATACTTGATGTTTTAATCCATGACTTTTATAAGGTGGTTTGTTACACTGAAAGACTAACGGAAAGAATTGATAGCCTTTTCTCAATGCAAAACCCAAAGCACATGGCATGACATCACAATTTATCATTGGCAGAACAGAGTGGCCAGTCACATCACAGGCAAATTGCAATTTTCTGCTAAGAAGAATATGGTCCTTTATTAAAGAAACTCTTCCAGAAAGAAATATTAGGAATAAAGAAAATATCCTTGAAATTGGTGAGTGGAGTTTTATAATAATTCGATTTCTCTTTGAGGACAGGCAGAATAGTACAGTGGAATGAAAAGGAAATTTGGGAATCAGATAAATCTGATCCTACTCCAAATGTGTGACTTTAAGAAAGTTATTTAACCTCTAGCTACTTTCATCTATAAATCTTAATTATAAATATATTTTAAATTTTATAAACTGCAAACATACACACATATAATTTGTGAGAGAAATGAATGACGTAAAACACAAAAAACACTTATTATAGTGTCTAGCATATAACAATTACTCAACAAAGTAATCGAAATAATTATTGTTCTTTGCTCTTAAACTCCAGGCACACTGACACTTTAACTGCCTCTTTCATTTAATATAGCTTTTAAAAAAGGACCCAAGTATATAACATAAAATATTTACCATTTTACTCATTCTTTTGCAGATTTCAATAGCCAATTTACTTAAGAGATTTGGTTTATGCAAATTAAGCTCCTAAAATAAAGTATTATATATCAGTCATATAGGTGAGAGGTTGATTCAATAAATTTTTCTTGACTAGTTCTGGCTTTGTGTCAAGGGCTGAAAATACAGCAATAAACAAACAAAGGCATGGAGTTTACATCCTAATTAGGTGTGGGGAAGGACAGCTAATGAACAAATATATACATAAGCTATGAGAAAGAGAGAGGTTCCATGAAGAAAAATAAAATCAGCTATGGAGGCTAGAGAGTTAGTTGATGAGAGTGACTATTCTGGGATGGGATCATAGAAGACGCTCTGTTATGTAAGCAGAGAACTAGAGGAAGTGAGTAGATAAACCTTGCATATATCAGGCAGAAGAGGTGTTCACTTGTCTAAGTCAAGGATACAAGCCCTGAGGATGAGTGTGCTAAAGTGACAGCAAGGAAGCCAGAGTGCTTGGAGCAGACAGAATGAGAGAGAGATTCATAGGAAACTGGTCAGAGAGGCAGTGGAAGCATAGGAAATGAGGACCATGTGGAATTGAAATGAATATTTGAGTAGCTCTGATTAAATCTTATTTTTAGCTTACTACTGTTCTCAGTCTTATCAGGATACCGAAACAAGTTATCAAGTACGTATTTATAAAATGCAGAGAATTCTCCTGAAAGCAGTCAGAGAAATACAGGACTATGCTTCCAGTGCCTTCTATTTTGTATGTCTCCATGATTCTACAAATGGTCTATGATTACATGTTTTGGGCATTAAAAAGATGGGCATTTTGTTGTCTACAGTAAGACTTCAATTTTTTTGCACTCAACCTACTTAATCTCCTACAGTGATAACCAAACTATTTCAAAAAATAGAAGTTAAGGATTTGGAAACAAGGCTCTAACAAATCTAAATGGATTGGGCAGTCAACTAGAGTCTTGAATGCTAAATTCCCAGTAACTTCCTGTTAAAACTCAGTTTGAAATCTCTTCTAATGTTACAATATTGTATTGTTGGCTAAGCTTTTTTTTTAACAGGAGAATGGGAAGAGACACTGTCACTTTTTGCTCCTTGAACATATCTGACATCTTCATGACTGCATTTTCATAATTCTATTGTTTTTCCTTATAGAGAGTAGTTGGTTTGTATTTCTGGTTTCATTTGATGCTTTTCTTAAAAGAAAATTTAGTCTGAAACAAAGAGGCAGTGAAAATTAATTTAATGTGAACAAGCTGAAAGAAGCTCATTTCTAGCAGTTCAGGAAAGCACATTTAAAACATACCAGAATTTTTACAAAGCTTATGTGTATTCTAATGAAAAAAGAAAACTCAAATCCAGACTTTCATTTATATGTATAATCCACTTGAGATAGGATAGAAAATGTCAAGCAGTCAGATTATACGTGCCACAGGTAGGAATAGAAATAAAAAGCATTAGCAGGGACTTGACAGAAAATGTGGTAAAAGTGGATTTATGTACTACAAGGGTTGAAGTGAAGGGTCCTTAAGGGGAACACAAGCCAAAAAAAAAATACTATTAATGCAAAAGAAAAATCTCTATATTCAGATACACAGAGAAAATAAAAGCACAGGCCCTGGAGAAATGAAAAAATAATCTTATTGATAAGAATTCCATAGGGAGCAAAAATATACTTAATCTATAAATACACAAGAAAATGTAATTAAGTTTGAGAGTAGATATTTAATTTCAGTTCGCTATTTTAATTTCTTGCTAATCAAGTTGAATGATTTTTCCATTTGAGAGACTAGTTTTTTTAAATCCTTGATTGAAACTGAATAAGAGGGAAGACAGGATTAGATATTTTAAAATAAATAAATAATGGTAAAAATAATGAATCTAAGTAACGAAATGGGCTGCAGCATAACCAAATACCTCAGTAGTATTTGTGGTTAAGGAAAGATTAATTTTTTCCCCCAAATTTTCCCCTAAGTAGTCCAACTCTTTTAGTATAAACTATTAATGAGCAATGATTTAAATAGACATTAAAATCAAAATATTTCTTAAATGTCCACACTTAATTTGTATGTCTGCTTATTGTCAAAATTTGCATAAGAAAGTGAAACTCACAGGTTCAGAATAGATAATTGAAAATGTATTTTAGCAGAGTGTTTGAAATCCTTTTAAAACTCTTGAAGGGTTGATATGAACCAACTTTCTTATCTCCAGATGATTTAAAAGGGATGCCCCTAAGTTTACCTCAGATTGTCAAAGTCCAAAATGTAAATGCAATAAATATAAAGCTTAAATTAGCCTATAAGAATAAGAAAGACATGAATGAGATGCTACATGAATATACTGATATGCCTTTGGTCTGTGTCCCTGCCCAAATCTCATGTCTAGTTGTAATCTTCAGTGTTGGAAACAGGACCTCGTGAAAGCTAATTGGATTATGGGGGGCAGATTTCCCCTTTGGTGCTGTTCTCATGATAGTGAGCTCTTGTGATATCTGGTTGTTTAAAAGTGTATAACACCTCCTCCCTCCCTTTTTTTCTCCCTGTCCAGACATGTAAGATGAGCCTGCTTCCCCTTCAACTTGTACCATAATTGTAAGTTTCCTGAGGCCTCCTCACCCATGCTTCCTTACAGCCTGCGGAACCATGAGCCAGTTAAACCCACTTTTTAAAAATAAATTACTTTATCTTGGGTATGTCTTTACAGCAATGAGAGAACAGACTAATACACATACCACATTTGATACTCTAAGAGATAATTAAGTGTTATGCCACAGTTTTAAGAAAATGTATGCCAGGCAGAAAATAGAAGAAATGCTAGGGATGATGAATGAAAATGTTAAAACTTAATCTTGGTGCTTAGGATTGAATGATATAAATACTTGAAACTAACATCATATAATAAATGTGGTTATAACTTACTCAGCCCTCCCAAAGATTCAATATGATGGCAAATACCACCTTTTTTTATATATGGAGAAACTGAGGCACAGCAAGTGAAAGAGCTGTAAAATGTTTGTCCTGGGTCAATGATCCCTTGAACACTCAAAACTCTAGTGTGATGGTTAATTTTATATGTCAACTTAACTGAGCTAAGAGATACTGAATTTGCTGGTAAAACATGATTTCTGAGTGTGTCTGTGAAGGTGTTTCCAGAAGAGATTAGCATTTGAATCAGAGTAAAGAAGATCCACCTTTATCAATGTGGGCAGACATCACTCAATACATTGAGCACCTGAACAAAACAAAAAGGTAGAGGCAAGGTGAATTCTCTCCATTTTTCCTTGAGCTGGGATATCCATTTTCTTCTGCCTTTGGACTTTGGAGCCCCTGTTTCTGAAGCCTTTGAACTTAGACTTAATGACACCATCAGCTTTCCTAGTTCTCAGTTTACAGATGGCAGGTAGTGGCACTTCTCAGCCTCTATAAGCATATGAGCCAATTTCCATAATATATTTCCTCCTGTATACCTATATCTGCATCTATAAAAATAGATATTTCCAACTGGTTCTGTTTCTCTGCGGAATCCTGATTAAAGCACCTGGTAACATGGAGAACTTGGCAAGCCATTCACCATCACCTTGACAATCCACCACTTCCTTTAAGCCTCAGAGGTTGGGTCAGTATTTCATCCCACAAGAAGCAACTTAGGGTATTGACTTCAAACTACAGCTGTTGACACCATGAATCTAAGCTGAAGATATTAGACACTGATTTTCACTTTCCTCCACCTCCCCCACACTCTTGCCCTCCAATTTGTGGATATCCTGTTGCTTTATAAGCATTATGTTTCATGTTTATGTGAGTTTCTTAAGTGCCTGATATCCATCCTTTACCACCAATCTTATCTCCTATTGGTAGCATTATCTCCAAATTTAAAAGCCAGAAAAAAAAATATTTTTTACTCATTAATTTATTATTATTAATATTTACTCAATCTTTTCAGTTTAATGGCAAAGTAAGGAAAACCAAACTTTCTGTTCCAGGGGAAACTAGCCACGGATATTAAGTCATTGAGCCCAACTATGGAGAGAGCCTTTGCAGCAATTAACTTAGGAAACTAAAAAAAAAAAAAATCACTTTTGCTAACTTTGTTTTTAATTTTGGGGGTGGAAAAATGAATAATAGAGTTCTTGAAATGAATATTAAAGAAACTGCACTAGCTCCCTAAATCCCACTGGAACAGACCATCAATACTAAGAGATACCAGGTGTACCATTTCTAACCAACTGCCTGATATTACTATTATTCAAAGAGGGCACTTCAGTTACCAATATAGCATAAAGGAATTGTCCTGTGATGTAATCCACCAAAGTGATTATGAATTAAACTCAGAATAAAAAGTCAGAAGAGGGAAGGAATAAACACCTGAGAACAAGTAATTAATTACTTGACCAAATTTAAAGACTGAACAGCATAACACAGAATTAGTACACGTGCACCTACTGAACATTTTTTTAAAAGGAAATTCTCTCATGATAAGAAATGGCCTACCTATTTGCTGCCCATGGAACATGAAGTTTCTGCTCTTGCTGCTCTTCTCTGGAAAGCAGGGCTGAACAGCTATTTTGCTTGCCCCGTTGATTTGCAGTTTGATAGTCAGTGTGACCTCAAGCTAAGCATAAACTCCATGTTATTCTAACAGAGACCATGCCAAAGTGTATGGAAAGAAACAGAGCCAAATACTCACAGATAAAAAAAGCAAACATTAAAACAGGAAAAACTTCCAAGGGTCAGAGGATCATGTCTTTGGGGAATACTTTGTACAAAACGGCATGCCTTCAAATTACACCACGGACATTTGTAGTAAGCAGTTTTACAGTCATCCATGTGCCATTCTTAGCGGCATTTACAAACAAGGTACCCAGGAAGAAAACATATGTATGCAGGAGAGCCACTAGATGAACACTCACATTTCACTTTTCCTTCTTTAATAGTTAGGACATTTTTCTGGCTGGGTGATTTACAGAAATATTTTATTCTAAGTAAATCTCTGCCTAAAATTCCAGTGGCAGTTTGCATGTGAAAACACATCTGATCAGCTAAAGATGTGTATCTTTCTGATAAACGCATCCAAAAAAAAGATAGAAAGAAATTTTAACCAAATATATTTAGCTATCCTTAAAATATTATGAATTGCTCATAACTAATGGCTGATATATTGATTAATAGCTTGAAGTACATAGTGGGCAGTTAATGCTATAACAAACCTCTAGGATTTATTACACCAATAATTCTGTGAAACTAAGTTTCAAGAACCTATTGTTGAAATAAACCACATTCTTTAATACCCGTCAGCAGTGGTATTTATATGTATTCCCTTTCTTAATAAATTGTTTGTATGGGAAATTGATCATTTATATTTGCTCAGCCAGAATATGTGAACAATTAAATGGTTTGTCACTAGATGATGTGATCCTGCAAACTTTGTAAGTCATTTTTTATTTTATTTTTAATCTTTCACCTCCCTCTCAGGAACAAATGCCAGAAGAATTGAGAGGCAAACTAGCACAGTATAGTACTGGAAGAGATAGTGCTAATCAAAGAGCTTTGACTTGAACCAGGCCTTAGAAGGAGAAGGTATTAAGGACTAATGCATTAATCTAAGTCCCTATGTCAGCTAGGAGGAAGAAAAAGAAAAACAAAGAAAAGCACTATTTAGTGATGTGCCCTTAATAGGATATACTGGAGACTGAACTTGAACTTGAGAGGCAGTTGGGATAAAGAATAATTTTTGAAGCTAGGTATACAGTGGAGAACACAGGAAATCCAAATCAGAATTGCAAGTAGTGTATGGTCTTCACCATGGTGTGGAATGCAAACCATTTACATGTTCAAGGAAGATATATATAGCAGTTGACAAATTTTGCTGCGTATACTGAAACCCTGGAAGGCACTGGAAAATACAAAAATAATGTCTAACTTTGAGTTACTTCTAAATAATAAAGCCAACCCTCCTCACCTTGCAGGATTCTGCATCTCTTCTCTTCCCAAGGCTTGAGCAAGTAGGTGCCCCTGTGTAGGCTCAGCCCCATTCCTGCTCAATGATAATGCCACTTTGTGAGTTTCAACCATGTACCACCTCCTTGGTCTCTGTGTCTGTTCTTGACTCCAGTTCTGAAAGGCAAGCATTTTAATCTCCACACTATGCTCCCCCTTTTCAAAAAATTGAGTAACTTGAACCTGTCATGCAGCTAGTACAGTACAGAGATAGGATGGAAATCTAGGTCCAAACGGTACATACTTTCCAACCGCACTGCCAACGGGCCAGCGATAAGTTATCCTCACTGTCACCTCGCTCCTGTCTGGGTGCCTGTTTAAACTATTTGGGTTTCTTCCTCATTTGTGTGTTGTGGTTCTATGCATTATGGAAAATTGGGGTCTTCCTTGGTCATTTTTTATAACTTGCAGAGTATCCCAGACATATTTTCTCCATATCCCTGCCCTTCACCTTTAGCCACCAAGGACTACATGGTTCATGAAAATTATTGGTAATTGTTTTTTCATCCTGAGCCAGGGACCCTGCTAAGTCCTTTAAGAAGATTGTCTCATTTACTCTTCACAGCCACTTTATAAAGTATGTACATGTATATGTGTGGTGTGTATGCATGTATATATGTATGTAAGCATACTTTATAACCATTTCAGGATGGAGAAATAGAAGCTTCAACATATCAAGTAATTTGCCCAAGGCCATGCAGTTGGTAAAGCCATAGAGTAAGGATCTAACCTTAGGTCCACCTGACTACAAATTTCAAAACTTCCAGCTACCATGTTATACAGCCTCCTTCTCATGCCTCTTTGCAGGGACTAGAAGCCAACCTCTGAATACAACAGAGTGACTAGGGCCCTCCTTGCCCAACTACCTGAATATTGCCTATTATTGTGTTTCACTTTCCTTCCGAGGTTTGAGGTCACTTAAGATTTAGGCCCAGTACCCAAGTTTAGCCCATTGATCTTCTCCCCATGGTAAAGGGTGCTCTGTATAGCAGACTAAGGCTTCCTTCAGTACCTGTAGGTGAGGCTGAGCCCCAAGGATCTATCCCATCAAATATGTAGATCTGCGGTCTCTTCCACTCCCTTTAGTTTTGGATGGATATACCCAGACTATTTTTATATGGAGAAATTCTCCCTTTCCAAACTCCTTATTTCAACTTGCAAAGGAGTCAAGTGGGAAGAATGCTAATGAATGTTGTAAGCTGACTCTGAGTTCACCACAGTTCTTCCACAGAGAAATGAGAAGTGAGTCTGCTTGTCTCTCTTCCCAGCCCATGCTCTCCTTCTGCTTCCTTCATGAGCATAAAGTCCACTCTGCTGGACCTGCTATGCATCCATTTCTCTAGATGGCTGGCTTCTTTAGGACCAGAACAGGGACTTTTAAATTTACATCTTGTGTCTCCACTTCTGCAGCTCAGAACTGGTGTTCAGCAAGTGCCTGTAGATATATTAGAAAAATGAAAGAGTAAGGGAGCATGAAATAGGGATAAAAACAGAAGCACAAAGTCTACCAGTGTCTGTAGTTTTAGAATCAGCTTCTTTAGTAGCCATAGCAATTACCAACATATCCTCCCAATATTGACTTCAAGAAATCAGAGAGCAAGAGAAAGAAGAAAGTGAAATTGGGAAAGAATGACATTATTCTTTTCTCTGATCAAAAATGCCTATTATAGAATCTCTCTCTTTATCCTGCAAAATCCCTAGCCAGAATCAAAGCACACTCCCCAAACCAGACCCTAATCAATGAACTCACATGACTTGCCATCTTTTTTCAATCATCTTGTTGCTTCTGTACATTCCTTTCCCATTACTTTTTTAAGGCCTCTCTGGTTTTCATCTAAATTTAGGCCCACCAGCAGTTTTCTTCATATAGTAGATATGGTTCCTAAAAAGATCAGCAGCAATCAGAGCTCTGTGATAGGAATTGTAGGTTGACATCGTTTTAGGAATTCCTAATCTTCAGGTCTGACTCTCCTTGGCCAGCATCATTTGTCATCATTTTAGTTAAAAGGTTCTCGGTTCCAGAGCGTCCACATTTAATAATTAGTGGTCTGTAAAACATTTGAGAGTGCTGGAGCAGTTCTCTGTTTAAAGAAAATACAGGGATTAAAAATAGAAAATCATTGCCCTTCCATTCTTGAATGTTATGAGTGGGAATCAAAGAGACTTGGTGTTTGGTGGGAGGAGTTGTGGGAAAGTAGGAGATTCTAGGGAAAGGGCAATGGTGTCAGTAACTGATAAGTGGTAATTCTACTGAACAAAGAATTACCTAGAAAATTATTTAGGGATGTGGATATCAAGCCACCTCCATTATGAGATCCTGATTTAGAAGGCCTAGGATCAGGCCCAGAAACCTGTCTTTAGGAAGCATTTCCAGACAACTCTGATTATAGTCAGAGGACCCTACTTTGAGAATCACTAGAGCATAAGATTGTAGCACAGTACTTCACAAGCTTTAATATATTTGAGAATCACTGCCCCTCCCCATTAAAACTTAGTAATATATAAATTCCCAGAGAACCTGATTCCATAGGTTTGGAGATCTAAGAATTTGTTGTTTCTAACAAGATCCATAAGGCATACTTTTTGACTGGCACTAATACAACACAATAGTTCTCAAATTTGGCTATATAATGAATCACCTAGGAAGTTAAAAAAAAATAACTGATACCTTAATACTACCTGCTAAAGAGTCTAATTTAATTGGTCCTTAACCTGGGCATCAGGATTTTTTTTTTAATTTCCCAAGTTACTTTAATGTAAAGCACACGAATGTCTCTTACATGACAAGTTTTATTCAGTACCTGCTGTATTGGTCAAACCGTTTAGCTGCTGTAGCAATCTAAATCTCAGTGGCCTACCACAAGAAAGATTTATTTTTTGTTTACACAAAGTTTAATGTGGATGTCTCTGTTGGGATGGTTTTCCAGGAAGCCCTCCTCCAAGCTATGACTCAGAGACCCAGGTATTTTTCACTTTGTGGCTCTACCATCTTCAGTTTGTTATCATCTGGCTAAAACTCTGGGGAAGAGAGAAAGAGAAAGGTGGCTAAGATACTTAACAACCTTAGTCATTCCATCAGCCTGAATAGATCTAACTGCAAGGGAGACTGAGGAAGGTGAAGTAGCACATGGATATAAGTGAGCATTAATAGTTTCTGTCTCTTTGGTTGTGCTCCAGGCACTATGCCAGAAGTCAGGAGGTGGTGCAAAGAAGAATGTAAGCCATAATGCTGACTTTAGAGTTTTGTTTTGTTTTTACAGCAATCAACCCTTTTGGTCAGCTCAGCAAGTACTGAGGATACCTCACATCAGCTTTGCTTCTAGAAACTGAGCAGTTATCATCATTCGTATCTCCATTTGGCCCCAGATATTCCAGTTCAAGAATCAGTTTGAGAAAAGTACATTTATAGAGAATAACTCAATGCAGTAGGATATGGCAGCTAGCATATGACTCTATTAAATCTACTTTTTCGTTTTGGCACTTGATCTTTCAGTCTTGAGCTAGAACCCTGATTTCTATATCAGCAAAACAGAAACAATAGTTTTCTTCCTTCCAGAGTTGTTTTGAGAATTAGGGGGAAAACGTGCTAATTATTCAGCAGGTCCTTGATATACATGCACTATTATATTCTTGTATATCACATTATTACATATTCGTATATTATTATTGAAGAATTCTTACAACTGCTCCATGGGTTTCCTCCAAGATGACTTCAAATCCTTGACAGCATAAACCATAGCTCACAATTTTTCTCATATACCATAGTGCTTGGTAAGTAATGGATGTAGAAAAAGTTCATTGATAAGCATTTACTGAGTTGGGTTCACTAGGGGCAAGTCTGAGACCCTGGAGCTGGCAGCTGTTGTAGAAGTTTCCTGAGAACTATTGTTCCTAATATAAGCATTCCTCTGAGGAAAAGCACTATAAAAATCCCCAATAAATCGTTCTACTATAAGGACACATGCACACGA